TTACTCAAGCGTTAACACGTTCACCTTTTCAGACGTGAAAATTCAGATGAGTATAATGTACGTTGGTGGAGTAGTGGCTACACGCTCGCCTCGCATGTCAGATGTCCAGAGTTCTAATCCCTGCACGGCCATTGGATATACACTGCTGGTGAGCTCTAATATGAGCGAAGCTCGAGTCCAGTGGTCTAGACACACCGGAATAATTACGCCAGAACAGGAGGACGGCCGTTCAAACGAGATTGGTGATACTGTGAGCATTTGTATACACTTTGGTTGGAAACGTCCCGCTTACGTTTCAACATCTAGTTCTAAACATGACATCAATTTATACCGATCGCCATCTACAGCCATTGATAGACCAAACAGATGTGGGCGAAATGACTGCCCGTCGAACGTCAAACGTGATATGCAATGCCACACCTGCAGGCCTGGTGGCAATTCAAATGCATGGGTTTACAGGATAACCAGATAAGCCGACTAGCTAACTCCCCTGATCAGTTTGTTTGCGCCAGCTGGCTCTACGTTAAGGGTGCAATACATACAGCAGCCAAGAGGAGAGCCCCAAAAACGGTACTCAATCCCCAATGCAGAGTCAGAAAGACCGATGTGATTGTTACGCTTTGATCGGGATACTCGACGCAGAATTGGAGCGTCTTCCTGAGGCACTGGAGGATTCAGACACAATAAATGCAGTGACTAGGGTCCTCTGGCTGATACTCATACAACTCTCTGACGCGGCTGTAAAGACCGCAACAGCGTCTCTAGTGGACAGGCGCTAAAAGGAAAACATTGATAATCTGGGGTTTGTTCTCCGGAAAAAGCACGCGAAATCTTGGTCATAACAGGTCAGAGGTGGAGGCACGAAACAGGCTACCGCTGGACATCAATTCAACCGACCCAAAACTCATGACCAAGCCTATTGTGGTTATATCCATTTGTGCCGACGAAACAAGCTGCGTCTCCGGACAGCAGATTTTATTCGACCGCCAGGGGCCTGTCACCCACCAAAGGCAGTGATGACCTGGAGGAGGAAAACCTCACATGCAAAGAGCGCCCAAAGTACGTGGAGCTATCAACGCTTATCTCCGTAACAGATGACACAGGTGCAGCCATGCACACCTCAACAAAGCCATGGCCTCTGAACAGGACTGAGTCAGATTTGCAGGGACAAGCAGCGAAGCCAACCTTCAACTCCTCTCCGTCAAAAGCGGCCTCTCAGCTAGTGTACACAACCCTCGCCCAGGACCCCGACAACCAAAGCCATGAACATTGCTACAGCCAACCGAAAAATCCCTCGTAAGTTGAGTTAGCGACGCTGATCACCCGCGGATCGGGTGTCCACATAAACACGAAAGAAGAGCGACTGCAGCCAAACAAGCCACATAAAGCTCGCCAGATTAAAAAACTGCTGGCTGGCTTCAAGGTGCAGTCCTCCGCGAAANACCAAAATCTTTAATTCTTGGTGCCGCCACCCAGCGCTAAGGGCCTCACAGAGACACTTTTCCGGTCGAACTCGCCAAAACACCCAAAAATCCAGGAAGGCGAAAGCTTGCCGCAAATCTTCGATCAACAGCAAATCTGGTCGCTAAAAAGGTGGTGTTGAAAGAGCTACAAGCACCAGCGGTCGAAATTTTCGCCCACGGGGATAAAGACCCCGTCCCGCAAAGCTAAGAGGCCCGAGAAAACCGGACACTTACGGAACGAAAAAACCTCGCAGGCGAAAAGTAACCCCAGAGACCATGAAGACAGGAAAGAGACGACAGACAAACGAAACAGACACCAACAAACTCGGCGATTTTAAACAGTAAGCTTGCTTTGAACAACTGTCCGTAATCGCACTTTCAGAGACCTGGCTCACACCAGATGTCTCTGACGCGGAGGTTTCGAGAGAAGGTTAATCTATTTTTGGAGGCGACTCCGATTTTCTGCATCTCGGTGTGCTTCACCGTAGACCATCGAGCTCATCCGAAGATGACCAATTCCTCATACAAACCCTTGAGGAACTCTCCTCCAACTACCACTTCACTCATCTCCTGCTGGTAGGTGACTCCAGCGCTTTAAAGTCCTCCAGCATGGAGCTTCAATGCATCGAATCAAGCGGACGTTTTGCAGCGGCGCTGACTGAAGTCGTTCAGCCGAGTGCTTGGACTCAACATGTAGTTGCACGCACCAGCTACCGCGCAGGCCAACTACCGTCCCTCCTGGATTTGGTCATCACCAACGAAAAACACTTCGTTGATCAGGTAACAAATAACGCTCCACTGGGACATAGTGACGACTATGTGCTGACCTTTGATTTCATCTGCTATTGTGCCAGAAATGTCGAACCTCAAACGTGGTTTCGAGACTTCTGCCGTGCAGACCACTCATTATTGTGCATCATTCTTGAACAAGTCACACTGGGACTAGCTCCAGTTGAAGAACTATATAGGACCATTGTCCAAAAAGTTCACGAGGCTGACGCACACACTCGGATGACCCACCAAGTTTTCAAAAAGTTGACCACATGGGATAAAGAAGGTGAGCTGGCATTTCGTAAAATTCGGAACCGCTGTAAATCAGAAATCCGCCAATGGAACATACGAAAACAAGCCACCATTCTGGACCTCGCTAGAAACAAAAAACGTCTTGTTCAAATACACGAGAAATCGCCGCAGAAATAAGCCACTGGTGTTCTCCTTGGGGGACACAAAAGGAGAACCGATGAGTGACCCAACAGTGGTATCTGAGATTTACGGAGAATACTATGCGCGTGTATACTCAGCCACAGCGTCGTCGTCACATCCACTCTTGTCAAGGCGGAACTACAAACAGCCTCTAGCCGACTCGGTCTTCACGGTGGAGGACATTCGTTAACTATTGCACAAGATCAACCCATTGTGCGCGTTGGGGCTGAAGGAAACGTCCTCCACACTGGCAAATCATTTACACCTGGGGTTTCGTCAGTCGCTTGAAGAAGGCCGCCTTTTCCGTGCTTGGAAAGAAGCGATTGTCACGCCAATCTACAAAACTAGTGACCGATAATCGCCTGGCAGCTATAGGCCTATAAGCCTCACTAGCCTGCTGTGCAAGGTGATGGAACGCATTCTGAAGCAAGCTATCCTAGATCACCTTACTTGCGGCAACATGATATCTCCAGGTCAACACGGATTTCTCCCAAAGCGCTCTTATGTGACAAACATGCTTGTGTTTACGGACAGCTTAACCCAAGTCAAAGACGAGGGACTCATATCCGGTGCCATATTTTTCGATTTCGCAAACGTATTTGATAGAGTCCCACATGTCCCGCTGCTACAAAAGCTCGAGTCTTATGGGATTCACGGGAAAATCCCTCGCTGGATCAAGGCGTTCCTATTATACAGATCATTCCGACTAAGAATAGACTCGACCTACTCTTCTCCAGCGCCGGTCTCCATTGGAGTTCCTCAAGGTTCCGTCCTGGAACCAGTGCTGTTTCTGATCTACGTCAACGAACTTCCAGATGTTCTTGCAAGTCCTTGTCTACTTTTTGCGGACGACTTGAAATCCTGGAATTCCAATGACAGTGCCTTCCAAATGGATGTACACGCTGCAAAGCAGTGGTAGTTGGACTGGCACCTTCCTCTGAATGAGTGAAAGTGCCTCCATATGTCATTTGGAGGAGACTCAGCGAGTGTCTTTGTTATGCAGGGACCAAAATAGATGAGAATAGATGCTAAAAAGGATTTGGGCATCTGGGTCCCCTCAAACTTGTCCTTCTCCCCGCATCATGAGAAATCAGCTCAAAATGCATTCGGTATTTTACGGATGATCCAGCGCACCTTCTCCCGTATTACTCGCATGGACTTCCAAATACTCTATGCGGCCTACGTCAGAGCGCTATGGGAGTACGCAAACCAAGTTGTTTACTCAGGGTGCACAAAAGACGTCACCCTCATTGAGCGTGTCCAGCAAGCCGCCTCAAGAATGTTTGCACGCCTCAAATCCATGGACTACGAAACGCGTCTCGCGATGCTTGATCGTTCTCCCCTGGAGTACCCTCGCCTCCAAGGGGACCGAATTCTTACTTATGCCCTGTTTGAACAAAGCTTGGCAAGCAGGTTTTTACCGTTGACTCAGCAAACGCACGACGTGGACATGGTAAGAAACTTTTCTAGCTCAGATCACACACATTCATTAGACAAAATTTTTTCTCATTTCGGGTAGCAGCTGCGTGGAATGACCTTCCTCCGAAGGTTGTCCATGCTCCTTCAAGAACCGAGTTTACAGCACTATTAGACACTTATCCTCGCGCTGGCGAGCATACTGCCCCGCGCTGAGAACGTAAAGAGCAGTGCTACACCCTTTTGTCCACTTGTGCTTTTCAGGTGAAAGACAGCAACTGACCGATAGGAACAAAAGCGACCCGGAAAACTTGGGCAGAAGTCTCGATACTGTGTATCAATCCGTGAATCCATGAACCCACTTGATTTTAACAATAATCTGTATAAGAATCCTGAGCGCAATGGCAAATCAAGTGGTTGGACAGGTAGTCCTGTTACTACAACCTTGCATCCAGCTACGTAATTATGACAATCCGAAGGTCAATGCGGGTCTGCACCATGTTAGGTCACCGCCTCCTACTTGAATAGGTACAGGTTGGTTGTCGGTTTTGTGGGCTCCTTCCGGTAATGTCATCAAAGGCGCTTGGCAATTGGAGAGTCAGTGTTTGCTGGTATGCAGTTTCTGTTTACGCCTCGAACAATCCTGTGTCATACTGAAGAGAAGTTTTGGTGACTGCTCTTTTTGGCTATTGATTGGTGAAGATATTGTGTGGTTGGTGAGATCGACCGCTAAAGTGGGCAGAACTAGCGCGTACGGACTTCAATGAGATGGTAGGCATGACTATACACGAATAAGTACGGTCAGGGATGAATGCGTGCTTCAGCTATTTGCCCACCGTGGATTACATCACGCACCCTGCCAACATAACCAAAGCCTCACGACCTTCAACAGCGTTCTAGCTACAAATTCGAACTCACAATAGAGCCATCGCCTTGGAATACATTGTAGCGATCCTCCTTGTGTCGGAACAATAGCTCGTGTAAACCCTCTGTGAATTTGGAACAAGGAAATCGGAAATCAAGTTTTCGTTTGTGCAGCGTACACCTTCATTGAATATTGTGTTGGTTGGGTTATGTACTGTGCATAGTCACCATACCAGCTGTTAGCTTATTTCTCTGAAATCATTTGGAGGTCCCGGGAGAGCCTGCTTGAACTATGCCCACGTAATTGGAACTGCGAAACGCCTGTAATGCAGTAAGTACAGAAATATTTTTTTGTTGTCGCCAAACATTCCGAAAAAACTTTCACGAATAAGTTTCAGAGCAAGTCACACTTGACAATTTTGGGAAACCAAATTACTTGACAGTTCTAGGGCATTCGTCAAGCTGTTTTTCACATAAATGCAAGTCCGTCTTTGCTAGGCTGCATGGCCCCTAATTTTATCTGATACAGGTTAAAGGGGACGAGAGGAAGCGAGAACCTTGTTTTACCATATCGAAAATTCTTATCTGGAGAGGCATGTTTCGGAGATTAACGGGATTAGGGCCGTAGTCAAAGGCATTCTTGTTCACTTGAATACCGTGAATATGTGATAACGCAGCAACATTAAACTCCTGAAGGTCGTCTTGTAGCTACTTTACTGCAACCAGAGCGGCAAACTGTTTACCCAAATTTTGTGGCACAATAAATCTAGTCCATCAACTGAGGAATATGGCTTGTAAGAACTTCACTGCAAAATCTAGAGGATTCATGCCGTCTTTTTGCTTGGTCGATTCTCGTTTCAAACAAACACATCTATTTATTTGGCCGGAGCATGTTTTTAGCAGTTTAAATATATATTTTTGAATCCGTTGTTCAAACCGGACAGATA